GCACTGTTGCCCCCACAAAATACTTAATGGCTCAATGAGTGATTAATGATGTCACCACTGTGAGTAATTCATCATCTAAGGAGGGATCTATGCTGAAAACTCTGACCTTTTTTGCTGATGCGCGTGCGCGTCTGGTTCACGGGAGCGGCGTTTGAGGTGAGGTAGATCATTGTGTGCGGCTTCTCCGTCCGGTACGCTGCCAGGTTCAGAGGGCGAGGGACTAGGTGCGGGCATAGGGCTCAGAGCCAGCGGCACCGGGCACGGCTCCTTACAGCATGTAGTCTGGGTCTCGAAGCGGATTAGCCGTGACTGCAAGCGTGCAAATCCACAGTCTCTCTCCAGAGCCTTCTGCTCGTCCAAGCAAAACCTGCGCAAAAACGCACACAGCAGGAGGATTAGGGGAAGAAAAAAAAAAAAAAAAAAAAAAAACACGGCTGAATGAAGTGAATGAATGGCTGGTGGTGCTATAACCATGGGTTTACACTCACTCTATGCCATGGTAGTGAGCGCTGGCTGCTTGCCTGAATGCAAGCCTGGTCACTTTTCTTGGAGTGAGATCAGGCGACAACTGGAAAGCATTATCCCTACACACAAAACATCAACATGAAAACATCAACAAAGTATAAGGTTCAGAGTTAGGCTACATTAGCTGCAGTTAATGAACACACAGCCGTGAAACACTTACCTAAGTGTCACTTGCAGCAAGCCTTACTAAATCACATGGAATTGAGTGTAATTGCACATCTCGACAGTCTGTTAAGGAAACGACGACAAAATGCAGAGCGGCGAAGGGGCCATAAAATGTGATGAGAGAGGCGGGTATACAAGCAGCCAGATGGAGGCATTATGTGAATGTTTTCAAGATACCCGCTGAATTCTTTGACTTATAGAGCAAGAACAGATGAGCCTAGTTGTGGTATATTTTGTGCTGCCATGGCATCTGCCCGACACGCACCAATCTAGAAAGCTAGTTAGATAGGAATTTATGTAATGGGTTCATCTACGGTCTTAAACCTTAGAACTCTAGCCTATTTGTGAGCATTTTTCACTTCATTTATTATGACAATCCTAACATTAAAATCATTGCAGGTATTCATATATGCCATATCTTCTTTTTTTTTTTTCCCCCCCAGGAGGAAAAAAGCTACACATACATTCACTGAGCACTTTATTAGCAACACCTGTACACCTACTCATTCATGCAATTATCTAATCAGCCAATCATGTAGCAGCAGTGCAGTGCATAAAATCATGCAGACATGGGCTAGCAGCTTCGGGTAATGTTCACATCAACTGTTCTCAATCACATCAGAATGGGGAAAAAATGTGATCTCTGTGACTTTGACCATGGCGTGATTGTTGGTGCCAAATGGGCTGTGCTGAGTATTGAGAACAGGCTACAGTAACTCATAACCACCGCTGAGGCGGCAGTGGGTACAGGCTCACCAAAACTGGAAAGATGAAGACTGGAAAAAACGTAGCCTAATCTGAATATTGATTTCTGCTGAGGTACACAGATGGTAGGGTCAAAATTTGGTGCCAACAGCATGAATCCATGGACCCAACCTGCCTTTTGTCAACAGTACAGGCTGGTGGGGGTGATGTTATGGTGTGGGGAATGTTTTCTTGGCACACTTTAGGCCTGTTAACACCAATCAATCATCGCTTGAATGCCTTTGAGTATTGTTGCTGACCATGTGCATCCCTTCATAACCACAATTTACCCATCTTCTAATGGCTACTTCCAGCATGATAATGCACCATGTCACAAAGCAAAAGTCATCTCACACTGGTTTCATGAACATGACAATGAGTTCATTGTTCTTCAGTTGCCTTCCCATTCACTAGATCTGAATCCATTAGAACACCTTTGGGATGTGGTAGAATGGGAGATACACAGCATGAAAGTGCACCTGAAAAATCTGCAGGAATTGTGTAATGCAATCATGTCAACATGGACCAGAATCGCAAAGGAATGTTTCAAACATCTTGGGGAATCCATGCCATGAAGAATTGAATCTGTTTCGAGAGCAAAGGAAGGCCCTACCCAGTATTAGTCTAGTGTTCCTAATAAAGAGCATTGTGAGTGTATATGCAATTATTTGATGAGTATGTACTAACAGGTTTTTATGCAAAATGCACTTGAAAAATGTGATCTCAAAGGACATATCCTTTTAGAAGTGGTCTCTGTAATCTTGGGACGTATTAGCTTTATGACAGCTAGGTATGCTGATTAGTAATGACTAATGAGAGATGGAATTATTTTGCACTGATATATGGTTTCATGCCGAGTGCCAAAGTTCTTTGATAAACGAGGCATGCCTTGCACTTTTTTCTGACTATTTTTTGTATAATTCTGAATGACCTGAAAATTCACTATTTATTACCTGTAGCTAAACTAATTATTATTTATTTATTTACTTGCTTCATTTGTTCAGTGTGAAAATCATTTTATTTGGTGCCATATTTCAAGCGCATAACAAATGACTCAAAGAAATATCAGATTTATCTATTTTTGTCTTTTTGAGCACCTGCATCTTAATACACTCTCAATCCAGCAAAGCTTGTGTGCGTGCATCATCGTCTGACTGTTTTGACATGGCAAATTCGCACTTTCCAACTTGTCAAAAATAACCAGACAAAATATTTGTACAAATAAATAAGGATCGTAAAAATAAAGTGATGTATTTTTAGTGGTAAATAATCAAACCCCTTTTTTGCCAGACGTTTTGACAAATCTGTGACACTGATGACGTCCGTACACTCACTCAGACAGAAACAAAACATGGAAATAAGATCAGTGAAAAACAAAAGCTTATTTTCTCTCTATTGTGGCTAAAAACTACCAGAGAGATAAAAAGATCCTGAGTTATTAAACCAAAGACCGAGTGCAAAAATGCCCCCAAATTGTGTTCATCAGGTTAATTATATGTAATGGTCATGTAGCCCATGGAGCTGTCTTACTTTTCACATTCCTAATTAGGAACTTCCTATAGCCTTTAGCCTTATTGGATTATACTGACACTGTGTTAAACCTGAAACATGCAGCAGTTGCAGAGCCTGAAGCTTCATTAATTTTGCTTAAATGATTTACAGAACCTTAGCTTATTTATAAAGTGTCCACTGAAAGCTACATCATACATAAACATTTTCAGGAGCATTACAGTTTGGGTGCCAAACTGAGAGTTAGCCTCTAGACTAAGGTTGCGATTGCAGTTATGAAAGTGTTGATGTGTATTAATGTGATTGCTATACGAATGCTTGAGAGAATCAGAGGATCTCCCTCTGCAAAGGCTCTACCTCCACTACCCAATTATCACAAATCCTAAGCAGCAACATAGCCACTTGCCTTCCTGGTATTTGGCACGTCTTTTGGCCTCTTTGTTTCTTTGGGACTTACCGTCTGAGGACAGGGAGAGGTTGTAGTTCTCCACTTGGTAGCCCATCAGCAGTGAAGTGCTTAAGCAGCTCTCGTGCATCCAGTGGTGCAGAAACACTCTTCTGGCCATCTTTAGGGCCCATAAGACAGTCTGAAGAGCCACTGCTGAAGAGGCTAGACCTGGAGAGGTTGTAAGAAGATCTGCTCTGTACAGGCCATCATAAACACAAAAACACTACCAACTATAGAGAGCCAAGCTCAATTTTATGCACCTTAAAAGCATAAATTTAGAGAATTTATTTTTTTTTGGGAGGTCATACACATGCTATAACTAGATAGCAAGTATAAAAGTTCCTTTTCTTGTTTCTTTGTTCAGAATTTACATTAATGCTTATTTGATTTAGAAAGTAAGTTTGGTTTTATTTGATCAAGTAAGTATAACTCAAGTGCCAGTCAGATGAAGAGCAACAAATTAGTAAGCACAGTAAGAATACTTGTAGACAAAGTATAAAAGTACAAGCAGATAAATCTCTCCTTACTATTTTTAGAACACCTCCTTCTGCTTTTTCCATTTGACGTCTTACTGCTTGGAATTATAAGCGGTTGCTATGGGCTGATGTATTATGTGCTTCTACAACACCTGTAACTCCATCCTGTCAATTATAACTCGCATCTAATAATTCTGTGCCCTCCACAATTATTGGCACCCAACAAAAAAGAGCAAAAATTAATATATAGAAAGTTTTATTTAAACATGCTATTTTTTCCCCCCAAACACAAAATAGGTTTTTAAGTAGTGCATTTTTCATGCAAAAGCCTGGTTCCATCATTTTCTGCACCCGTACAATTTAATTCAATTTGGCTTTAACAATGGATATCGTCACAAAACAGCATAACATGAACCCAGATATAGATTTAAATTTCTCCCTAATGAGCAAGCCAGAGGCAAGAGTAGCAAGGAAAAGCTCCCGGAGACGACATGAGGAAGAAACCCTGAGAGGAACCAGACTCAAAAGGGAATCCATCCTCTCCTGGATGGCACCGGATAGTGAGAATATAAATTATTTCCCTTCTATAACTGTATACTTTAGAATCAAGCAGTGCCGAAAGCGTGTCAAAAAGTACCTCGTGAAAGTTAAGCGTGTCGAAAGTACCTCGAGGACAAGTGTCGGAGTAATTTCTGATTTCATAAGAATTTTAACGTTTAAGAGACAATTAAGAGAATAGCAGCACTGAGTCGAGTTGGAGACACTTGGTTTGTGCATGTGGACTTCCCTCTTTAAAATCAGACCACAGGTTTGCAGTATGGTTCAAAATCCACAGGTCAACAACCATCAGTCTTATCTGTGTTGAAAGTTCTTTGGTTTATCCCATTGTAATGAATGAAAAAGTAATTGTACATTGATGCAACCTCATATTTAAACCCCAGGGAAACAGATTCCTGGGGACTGAGCACAAATCAAAAATAATATGAAAAGTCTACTGTTATTATTATTAATTATTATTATTATTATTATTATTGTCAATTTCTCTGCATTTATTAAAAATATTTAGGGTGCTAATAATTTTGGTCCATACATGTTTTCAGACAAACTTCATTATTCAATAAAGTAGTTCTAGGGGCAGTGGTAGCTCAGTGGTTAAGCCGTGGGACTACTGATCAGAAGGTCATGAGTTCAAACCCCAGCACTGCCAAGCTGCCACTGCTGGGCCCTTGAGCAAGACCCTTAACCCTCAACTGCTCAGTTATATAAATGAGATAAAGCAACTCGCCCTGGATAAGGGCGTCTGCCAAATGTCGTAAATGTTCTAATGACAATAATTCTGTTAGAACATAAATAATCTTCTATTATTCAAGTGAAAACTTTGAATTATTTGTGTATCGTTTACTAAACTGAACCAACACTCCAGCAAAAATGAAAAAAAACTACCCACCCAAACACCAGACTGAAACAAGCTACTAGGACTACTACAGCTTCTTTGGAGGATATTACTGAACATGCTCTGTGTGACTGTGGACTGAAAAAAGCTGAGGCTGAGAAATACAGATACGACATGACCTCACAAACAGCATAATAAACACAGATTTCATGCCAGAATGTTCTTTGAAACGATGACAAGTGAATGACGGAGACTTACCTGTTTTTGTGCCGGATCTTCTGCGTGTTTTCATAGTTCCTCAGAACACTTCTCTCTGGCCATTCTGAGTTGGCAGTGTGCTTACTGTCTCCTAGAGAACAGCACAATAGATGTCAAAAACAGACAGCTTGAAAAGTCTGCTGAACGCCCAAACATAAGAGCAGATCATTCTTCAGTGTTGGTTGCTGGGAATGCCAGTACGCTGCTGATTACCTCCCGTAACAGATGTGTGGTTCTCCTTCTCTACTGGCACACATGATACTCTGGGCTGCATGGCATTTTGCATCTTTAGATACTGCTCTCTGGCCAGACGCAGCAGTACTCTCAGGTCGTTTAGTGGCACAGCTGCGGGCTTCTGTGCCTCCTCTCTTCTTCCTGTCCATATAGACAGGTGCATCACATTCCACCATCCAACATATTACTCTCTGCCTCCTCAGCCATGTCCTAATATGACCCAGAACCAGGCTTACTGCTACACCCTTACTGAAATTTCTTTAAATGATTTATGACAGCAAGTATATCCTTTAACACCACTTTAACTTAAATGGATGCCTAAAAAGCTCACAACTCTCTAACAGTAAACAAACAACAAATTCAATAACTCCTGTGCTGTGTAACAAACCAATTCGTTCGGATATCTATACAATTACACCAGCAATTACTGAGGAAAACAAAATTTGTTTGTTTACCCTATCCACAGAACTTTCATTTTAAGCAAGTACTCAGGTGTGTGTGTGTGTTTACGCACAGTGGTTTAGCTGAAAATTCCATGTGAACAAGTAAGAGTTCATGCGAGAGGTCTCTGGTTGCCCAGGTAACCACTTACGGGCGCATTCCTGGACGACCTGGTGCTGGACCCTGGCCAGCCTCCTCTCCCTCCGCAAGAGGTCGTCTCCAGAGAGACGGGGCAGAGAGTGCAGCCAATCAGCAATCTCGGTGCCTGTTGAGAGGGTGAGAGGTTAATAGAGTTCACACTTTCAATGAACCTGTCTAGCTCCTGACTCCTGGCTGTGAGTTCACAACAGTCATCTCAGATATGACTAAGGCAGAGAGGAACGCTGCCTGCAAGGAAAAACTGGGGCTTATTATAGTGCAGGAATGATTCTGGTACCAAATAATCATTGGTTATGAGTAATAGTAAAGTAATAGTCTATTCTCAGTACGTAGTTATAATCAGTCAACATATAACTTAATAGCTGTGGAAGCTAGAGAACAATTTTTCACTTTGAATTCATTATAAATTGAAAAAAAAAAAATGTGAATGAATTGTGGGTGCCTAAAAATAGTATACAACTGGCCGAAAAGCTACATCTCTCTTGATTTGACCCAATCAATAACAGAGTTTCTCCTGCAGAAGGAAGACGTCACTGTGTGTTAATGTGGATGTGCCAGTGAGCATGCGTGCATCACTCTTAACTGAAAAAAGGTGATACTGCTGCTTTACTTCTCTGAGTTAATATTAGAATTAGAGTATTGCTTAAAATGTATTGGGAATGTTCCTTTGTTCTTTATCATTATGTTTGAGATGTAAATAAGCACATCTTATCTAAAATGAACATAACACTGGTTTTCCCAGAAAGCTCAGACGTCTAACTATAAAAAAAAAAAAAGGGCTTCAGAATTTATCAATACCCTTTTATAGAAGAAATATTGCCAGCTATCACAAATACCTCTGGGTGTGTGCGCATGTGCGGGGAGAGGGAGGGAGAGAGAGAGAGAGAGAGAGAGAGAGAGAGAGAGAGAGAGAGAGAGAGAGAGCGAACACCTGACAACCCTGTCCTAAATCTAGTATCTCAATGCAGATACAATTCTAAACACTAGAACCACCATAATTCCCTTTAAATGATTACAGTAGCATTTGTTGCTTGGCACAATCTCCTGATTACAGTAGGAAACTACGAGCAAACCCACGCCTCCACTGAAGAACAGAACAGTAATTTACCTCAGCAAACGTCTCCAGCAGTGATCTTAACACTTACACAAATCAAGAGCACAAAGAGCTATTCAGTGCTGTAGTGAACAGCAAACCACTGCATTGCCATTTCGCTCCACATAAAACGTTAATCAATGAAGAAATACTGCACGCCTACAAAAGCATTAAATTATCTGTACTTTCACACATGTCTAATGTTATTTTAAGTCAGACAATTCAGTATGGTGTTCTTTTCAACCTTGTACTATAGGCACTACGTTAGACTTTCAGATAAAATCCAACTGAAGAAACACTTAAAGACTATCAGATTTTGGATTTTATTCATTTATTCATGTATTATTCATTTAAAAGCTGCATTAGCAGAGAACTTAACAACAAGGGCTGATGAAGTCAGCCGTGCAACACTGGCTCTGTTTAGCCACAGGACACTACAGCCCTCTCACTGGATCTGAGTGCAAGTCACGTAGTCATACATCATCCCCTAAACTTTACAAGTAGAAATAAATGGTGAGTGCACAACATGAAAATAGGTTTTGGGCTGTGTGGAAACAGCGGTGTAGAAAGTTTTTTTTTTTTTTTCCTCCATGTGTTTGCTAAGGTCCAGCTGGCTTCAGGTGCTGTGGGATTTGATAGGACTGTGGAGGGCTTTTAATCCAGCTCTAATGAGAAGGCATGCTGAAATGATGCGAGTGCTGCAGCATAAAGAGGCAAAAGCATCGAACCACTTCACAACAATGCCAAGCATATGTACTCACCCTCCATGAACTTCTCCACATCTTGTATTGTTGGACTTAATCGGGATTATGTGTCATAAATAGCCCATAATCTTGAAGGTGTGTGTGTGTGTGTGTGTGTGTGTTTGCAAAATTATTTACAAACATATTGTAAATGTATGGATTGCATAATTGGTCTCTTGGTTGATTCTCTTACTGACTGTAGTTGAATGGTCTTCTCTAGTCAACTGTTTGCCCCAGGACTAATTTTGGGGTTTCACAGCTACAGAATTTCAATAGTCCAATCAACCCATCATGTGGCAGCAGCTCAATGCATACAGTTATGCAGATACAGGTGAAGAGCTTCAGTTAATGTTCATATCAAACATCATAATGGGGGGGAAAGTGATCTCAGTGTCTTTGACAGCTGCTGGTGTAAACGGACTGGTTTGAATATTTCAGAAACTGCTGATCTCCTGAGATTTTCACACACAACAGTCTTAAGATGCAAATAACAAAAAGCATCCAGTGGGTGACAGTTCTGCAAGATGAAATACCTTGGTTAAGACAAAGGTCAGAGGAGAATGGCTAGACTGGTTCAAGCTGACAGGAACATTGCATCTGTGGTGAGCAGGAAAGCATCTGAGAATGCACCAACACATCAAACCTTGAGGCAAACTAGACATGACAATACCACTTTTTCTTTTCTGATATCAATCCCCATCCAGTATCATTTTCTTTGATAACTAAGCTTTACATATATATATATATATTTTTAAACTGAAGCACAGTTAAACTTTCATGCAAAAATCACTTACACTGTAAACATAACAAATATGATGAACAACATAAAAGTATAATGTAGACGTATGATAAAATCAATCCTAACAAGAGAGCAACCAGTCAAGTCTTTTTACATGTAAACATTTCCAGTGCCAAAACGAAATTTCTTTTCCAAATCCAATTCCAATCTGGATCCGATATCCAGTATGTTTTCTCCAATATCTGAGCCAACATGTTTTTTTTGTTTTGTTTTTTGCTGTTACTGGCCGAAGACTGGGTATCGGATCAGTGCCACCTCTAGCTACAACAGCAGATCACATTAGATTCCTCTCCAGTCAGCCAAGAATAGAAATCTGACACTATAGTGTGCACATGATCACTGACACTGGACAGTTTATGTTTGGAAAAAGACGTTCTGTTCTGAGATGCTTTTCTGCTCACCATGGTTGCAAAGAGTGGCTATTTGAGTTACCATAGCATTCCTGTCAGCTCGAATCATTCGGTCCAGTGAGGTGAAGTTCAAGAGGATGAATACTTATGCAAGACACTGTATATTACTGCACATGTATCTATCGACAATATGGTTGTTTATAATCAACATTCAGGATTAATTATTGGAAATGTGATTACATGGTGATATGATGTTCAACATGTCAGTTTTACGCATGGTTGAACAATCTTACCTGAGGATAATGAAACTTTTTCCTGTACAAGGCTGCTGGTCGTTGCCAGAGCAACAGCACCATTAATCTGATTGGCAGAGTGTATTAGTCGTGCTTTGCAGCCACCAGTCTCTGCCCCCTGAACCAAGAGAAGATAGTGGCCTTTCTCGCCTTTCACCCTGACATCAGGAGCTGAAAAGGGAGAGTTTATCAGAATCAGACTGTCCAGAAGTATTCATTCAGATTCACCATGTTGCATGATCAATATCAATTGTTGCTGGGATACATATTTTGTTTCAGTAAAATGCAATCACATGATTTTGCAATAACACATAGGTTCAATCATAGCTTCACTCTGCACTCAATTACACTGCTCAACCAGCAGGAGATTTACAATAAGCACCACTGTGATTAGACAGTTGGGGGTGCGAGTTAATAGAATATAATTTATCGCTGCACGTACTG